ACATCAGCCCAACTACCCATCCTGGGCTGCTGCACCCTTCGGCAGGCAGAGCAACAATCCCTGCTCCCGCTAAACGAGCAAAATCAGCTCATTAATTTGGCTGGCGGGACCCCCTGCAGGGGGACAGGGCACGTCCAGCTCCTCTTCACCTGTCTGCTGGCCTTTGGGGTCACTCCCGGCCGGTCCCGGTGGCACTGGCAGCCCCTGAGGGCCGCAGGTCGGGAGCGAGGGGCCGCGCTGGCCGCGGGGTCCCCCCGGGGAGGTGCCTCCTAACGCGCCGCGGGGCTGCCGCGCACTAACGAGGGGCAGAGATTGGCTTAACGAGGCTGCACGTGGCCGTGTCACCTGTGTGTGAGCATGAATGGGGCTGGCCTGCCCCGTGGCACCCCCAGCACGGACTGCAGAGAGGCTCCTGCCCTTTTTGGGGCGCAGTCGGGAGCTGGGTTTTGTCTCCTGCAGAGGCTCCCCCCGAGGTCCCTCAAACCGAGAGGAGAACTTCCCTCCCGATGGAATTGGATGGGGGGAGCAGGAGTGTGGTGCAGACAAAGTTCCTGGAGCTGTTATTTTTATTGCAAAAAAAGACAAACCAACCCTCTGCCTGGCTTTGTGCCCCTGTGCTCAGTTCCCATCCCGGGCCTGCCCCTCCTCCCGTGGTCACACCGTGGGCTTGACAATCCCTGTGGATCAATTCTAGCACAAACATGGAATATTACTGCTCTGCAAGGAGCTACATCAGTTCAGACTGCCACCTCTCACCACTTACAACACCTCTTATTTCCATTTTTCACCTAAAAACCTGTTTGTGCTTGAAAACTTGGGCACTTTTGTATCAGCAACATCCTGATTTTTCGAGTGAGAGGACACCAGGTCCAAGCCTGGGTATCCAGATTTGTCTGCACTAACACTTCCCAAAGAACCATTTTATAATTGACTTGCAGATTGGTAGCCTCTTAATTCCCCCAATAACTGCAAAGAATCCCATAGCTTTTATTACATATCTATTTATTTAACACTCTCCTTTTACTAACCCTGGTTTAAAAATAAAGAAGGGAGAGCCCCAAAGCTTATTTTTGCACCTGGGGGAATGAGAAGATGATGGTCTTGGAAAGGTGACCATAGGGCTGAGCACACCTGGTGACCAGAACAGCTCTTGGAAATCCCTATTCATGCTGGCAACACAGTCTTTCAAGTCCTTTGATAATTTCTTGGCAAAAATTAATAATCAGCTGTTCCCATGTATAGAGCACTGATGAACTTAACAATTGTACAATTTTAGGGACCTTTGATTGCAACGGCTTTTACAAATGGATACCATTGAAACGTTACACATGGTTGGTTGCCATCTCACTTGGAGGTATTACAGTATATCCCATTTGTACTTTGTGCTGAACTACCATCTCCCCTATATTTACTTTAAGTGAACAATTTTTTATCTTCATTTCGTCTTTCCTTGGCCTTTAATCATTCCTTTCTGTGATTTGTGTTACTCAAATCAACCTCGCGGGCTGGAAACTGGAAGACAGATCCAAAGCTAAACCAAAAGTCACTTTTTCATCTTCATGATGCTTCGTGCTGTAATTTGAAGAGGCAGAAAACCCAGAAGGCTGTGGGGAATCACCCCCAGTGCCAGCAGCCAGAATCCCACTGGGATCACAGATCTGCTCCCAGCACACTGCTTTAAAAATAACTGAGCCCCACTGCTTTATTACTGAGAAACCATCATTCTTAATTAAGTGCTGTAGCAAATATTACAGCTAAAAGATAACATTGTAACTTGTAACCATAGAGCAATTATCAAGATTTAAAAAAAAAAAATTAAACCTGAGCAAATTAAATTAAAGGCATTACCTGAGCACCGCAGCCCTGGATCGCTGCCAGTTTCCTACCCTTTGAACTAAGCTCCAGTTAATTAAATGTTTAATTTTTATTTTTTATTATTATTTGGCCTTTGGCATATTCATCTTTGCAAACAAATATTCTTAACGCTCGGAATGGAATAGATTAGAAAACGCAATGAAAAACAGAAGTTATCCCAGTTAAATGGCATGGGTCTGCCTCCAGAGCTCTGAGCCCGGACAGGCAGATGGAATGGATGTGACAGATTTTATTTCCCTGCCTCTTGCCCAGCACTACATGATCAATGTCACATCATTTGCGTTCAAAAATCAGTCTATGAAATTAGAGTTAAAGTTAGTCGGGGGGCTGAGAACTGTGTAAAATGCCCAGAGACTTTAAACTACATAAAAATAGATTTATACCTAAACACTAGTGGATAAAGGGGGTTTCTATTTACTCTCCATCTCCACACACACCCCCAAGATTACCTGAAATTGTTCTGTCAATTGATTTGCTCCGCCAAGGAGCGAAAGAAAAAAGTGCCATAAGCACTCTTGCTTAATCCCAGCTATTACTGGCACGTAGCAGGGCCCGTTCTGGGGTCAATTTGTCAGAATCCTTCCCGTTTGCTGGGCTGCCAGCCTCTGGAGCAGTGAGGTGGTACCCGGGGCACGGCACCATAACTCAGCCTAAGGACGGCGGTGGCTGACGGGCTGCGGTCGCTGCTCGCAGCCGTCGCTCGCCGGCCAGCCTCCGGACTCAAACCATTAACGGCTTCAAAACAAAGTGCTTTTAACGGCGCTCGTTACTAATTAAAATGGATTTTGAGAGGAGGAAATGAGCCTTATTATTAATTCCTGGAGGAGCGCTGAGTTTGACGCGCTCGCGGCAGCGGCTGCTCCCGGCGTCCCCCGGGCAGGGTTTGGCGGAGCTGCAGGTTCCCAGGGCAGGGATCGGTGGCCACATCCCTGCAGGATGCTGCTGGGACCTCACCCCAGCACAGCTGGTTGGGGATGGGTTTTTGGAGGTCGTCAGGGAGCAACCTGTCCTGGCCCTCATCCCCGTGAGCGGCTGCCTGCAGAGCCAGTGCCCTAAATATTTATATTTCTTTTATACGTCACGTAGCTCAGCTTTAAGCACTGGCCAAGCACTGAAGCTCCTGTATAAAATAAATCCTGGCTGCCTCAGCGTGCCCAGGTAAAACTTGTCACCATCCAGGTACTTCAGAGGAAGCCCATGTTCCCAAAGCTGTGTGAATTCATGGCCTAACAGATGCCTGAGGAGCCGTTTTTGTCCTGGCCGTACATCAACTCACATTTTACTGTTCCTAAACTGGAAATAAGAGCAGGGAAAACGTGAGACCCCCTCTCCTATGGGAGCTGTCCTGGGAACACCTCAGCATTCCAGCCCTCTGGGGCGGATGGGGCAGGCTGTGGCTGCAGAGTGTTTGCAAACACTTTGGGGTTTTTTAATTAAAAATCCTAATTGACCTCAATTAACTGTCCCTCTCCCGTGTCCGTGTCCACCTTCTCCCCACGCAGAGTCTCTCTGGATGTCCGGGCAAGACAGGGCGAAGTTTCTGAAGGGGCCCACGGTTGGGTGATCTCATCAGACTTTGAGCACTACATCATCATCACCATCATCATCATCACCGCCAACGCAAACTGGAGGTGGCACTCGAAGGACTTGGGTTGTTTCAAAATCTCTCTCATCATCTCATGAATCTGCTGTACTATAAAAACAACAGCTTTTAAAAGTATGTATATAAAACCCATTTCTTGTTCGTTTTATTTTCTCGATGGGTTCCCCACCCCCCCTCTTTTTAAGCCTCTCCAAACCCACATCTTTTCGTAGCCTTTTTGACATAGTCTCGTAGCCACGTAGTCGGAATTCTTTGTGTACCTAGCGAGAGCCTAACCATAGTGTAACTGTTATATTAAGGGGTTTCTTTTGCTTTTTCTTCCCCACCTCCCCTCCTCCTCCTCCTCCTCCTCCTCCTCCTCCTCCCTTCTGTTTTACGTAGTTGTTGTTGCTTGAAGGATGCTGAGATGGTGGCAGGAGCCTCGGCCGCGGGGGCAGCGGAGCCGGCGGCGCGGGGGGCTGGCAGGGCACGGGGAGGGGGGAGCAGCAGCTTCTCTGGCCCTTCTTTTCCTTTGTGGTGTCTGGGTTACTCTGATTCTCTCTATTTTTCGGCAATAAGGCGAGGGCGACAAACTTTTTGCGCGTCCTTTTTCTATATAAGTGCTTTTTTTTGTTGTTGTTGTTGTCGTCGTCGTGGTCGAAAGAGGTGATATAAGGTTTTTTGAAATCGCGAATTCTGAAAAAAAAAAAAAGGAGAAAAAAAAATAATAAAGTGCTGTAAATACAATTCCATTAACTACATAGAAACTATTAAGAAAGAGAAATACAAACCTATTTTTGTGACGGAGTCAGCCTAAGGCAGTTTCTCTCTGGAAATGGATGGGAAAGACAAGGAGGCTGTAGCCTTTGGGGGCAGCTGCCCGGGGGGCTGTGCTGCTGTGGGACCCCCCCAGCTCGCCCAGTTCTCACCAGCAGCTTCGCTCTCAGACGTGCTCAGCTTGCAAAGGAACAGTCTGGTGGTATTTTTATTTTAATTTCAAACCTGCTTTTCCCAAAACTGATCAAGAAGCTACGATTTTTCCTACTTATCGCATTTACGGTTCAAAGCACACCTTTGTTTTGGTTTTTTGGTTTTTTTTGGATTTTTTTTTTTTTTTTTAGTCATTGTTTTAAACTAGATCAACTTGCTGTCCAGTCATTTCAGCTGCTCTGGGCACCCCACGAGGGCAGAGCAGCGTCCAGCTTGCATGGTTTCCTTTATTATCCATCACTTTCTGTATTGTCAAATTAGAAAGCAACTTTGGTTGGTTTTGATTTCTTTTATTTTATTTCTTTTTTTTTTTTTTTTTTGGGAATACCTCAGTGCTACAAGTTTCACCCTAGAAGCAACGGAAGATTTTAATTTATTGTAGTTGTAAACAGAATTTAAAAGAAATAAAGTATAAAACATCATTGCACTGTGACTGGTAGGGGAAAAACTGACAGTTTCCTATTTGCACATGTTTAATATTTGGCTGTTATATATATGGTCCTCTGTTGGGGGAGGAAACTTATGAAGGATATTTTTTAATTTAATTTTTTTAATATTGGTAAATAGGCCTGCAACAGCAAACTAGAAGTACAACATGGTAGGTGGCATTAAGAACATACTGTAGTGTGGATATATTTCTTCTTTTTTTAACGTAATATTGACAAGTTTTATTAATATTTTTTTAAATTGTTACGTTTATAAATTTGGTACTTTAGGTACAGCCAGTATAAGACACTGAATGCGACATTTGTTAAAAAGAGCTGCTGCACTCCTATTTTTGTAAATTTTACTAACAAGTAGACTAATGTAGACATTCAATAGACAAGGTAGAGCAAGGCATCTTTAACAAAACAAGGCACCATACTGCTAACCGAAAGGAGAAACCTTGTTTTTCTTGTTTTTAAAAAAAAAAATCATGCTTTTTATGTAATATTTTAGGTTTTTTTCTTATTTCAGAACAACCAGGTTTAAGCAAAATGCTGGACGCTTTTTAAATATTGAGACTTGATCAAGTAATAAAAGAAATAAAACCGAATTCTTTAAAAAATAAAAAGGTAAAAATAAAAAAAAAATAAATAAATACTACGAACCAAATTCCCTGCGATTCAGTGTGCCGCCAGGGAATTTTTTATTGCTATTTTGTCAATGTTGATGATGTACTGTACTACCAGTTGGTTTTCCTCTCCATTCCCTGTCACCTCATAGAATATTCTTTGTTGATCATTGTTGTATGTTAATAGTGTATAAAATGGCTTATCTTGTAAGAGTGCTGTCCTGATGGTAGTGTAGTGAATTTTCCCCCCCCTCTTTCTCTCTTCCTCTTCTAGTACATATTGGTAGGTGTATCGTAATTAAGGTTAAAAATTTAGATGTAGTTATTCAGATTTAGGACCAGTAAGGATAGAACTTTCTCTTATTTAAGAAAAAAAAAATGCTAATAATTTTGGGAAGTTTTCCTTTCTTGTTTTTTTTTTTCTTCTCTTTTTTTCTTTCTGTGCTTTTTTTTTTTCTCTTGTTCATTATTTTTCTTCTGTTGATCTGATGCGGTTTCAACTAACCAAAGGTCTCACAATGTTAAAAATGCTGGCAAACTCTTAAGGCATTTGTAGATCCCCACCCATGACTTTGGAAAGGGGATGTGCCATACTACCTTAAATGCTAATGCTAGATATGCAAAACTGGATTTTTTTAATTTATTTTTTAAAAGAGGGAGGCACGGTATATTAAAACGATTTTACTAAGAGAAAAAAAAAAAAAAAACATATTTTTTTAAGAATGCTCAGAAGAAATTGCTAATCTGTGTGAATATGTTTTAGATGTTTATATACCTTTTGAGAAGTCCCAGTGGCCCATAGCACAAATGTCGTGGAATCCAAGATGTTTTGATGTGGCTACCTAGACTAAGGTTCACGTTAGTCCCCCACTCATCTAGAAATCAATTTTGAAGGATTTTTTTTTTTTTTTCCTTCGTTCGTTTGGGGGGTTTTTTGTAAATTTTTCAGCACAAAGGTTCAGCTCCACCTTTGCTTTACTCAAGCCCAGGAGGGAGCGAAGGACGGTGGAAGCACGGACTGGTTTGGCTTGGAGGGGACCCCAAAGCCCGTCAGTGCCACCCTGCCAGGGCAGGGTCACCTCCCTGTCCCGGGGTCCAGCCTGGCCTGGCACCTGCAGGGACAGAGCCCAGGGCTCTCAGGACACCCTCCCTGCAAGGACAGTGCCCTTTGCTTCCAGATCCCCAGCTGGGGTGACCAACAGGAGCCATCGCCACCAGGCTGGGTGACCTGGGCCAGGGGACGCGTCCCAAACTCCAGGGACATTCCCCAGGGACCCTCCCCCTCCAAACGTCCTCGGGATCGGCTTGATTAAACTGAAGCCTGATCTGTCCTTTGGGGTTTTTATTTTTTCTTACACTTCATAAATGTTCATTTTGAGTTGAATTTGTAGCTTGGACTTTAAGGTAGCATGGCTCTCTTTGCTGTAAGTTGATTTTTGTTGGTTTTTTTTTTCCATTGTACAGCAGCGTCTGCTGGTGAATGTCACACATCTTGCTAGGCTTAGTTAAATCATTGGGTAATTGTGGGTGATGACGACCTGAAAGGTGTTGGGATTTCTTTTCTTCCCTGCTTTCATCTGTAGTGTGAATGAGGGCTAGCGACTCCAGCCACACGTCCCTTCCTGTTTCGTTTCCGCCATTCACTCAATGCAACATAATCAATAATAAAGCAATATAGTTTACTACATTTTTACTGAAGGCCAGCCATGGTTCTGTATGATATTGCATATGAAACTGTTTACAAAAACAAAAAAAAAAAAAACCAAAAAAAAAAAAAAAAAAAAAAAAAAACACTAACTCATAGCTGTCTTTTATGCTATGGCGATGTCTCTTGGGTGGAATCTTCTGAATTCTTTTTTTTAGTGGTTTGGTTTGTTTTTTTTCAAAGCGACATAGTTGAGAGAGAGGGAGAAGTGAGGTTAGTGTTGGAAGAGACAGGATGCCTCGCAGACACACGGGCAGATCCGCTCTGCACACAGACACTGTAGAGTTTCCTTCGTACAGAATCCAGCCGGCCCCGCGAACACTACGTGAGGAGATTCTGTAAGCTAAGCAATACTTTAATACTGTAATAAAATTACCAAAAAAAAAAATAAAAAACCACAATAATAATAAATAATAATAATAATAATAATTTTTAAAAAGAAAAAAAAAAAAAAACAAACTGTAGTTTGAGAAAGCAACCTGGTCCAGAGGGGTCACCCTGGCTCAGGGGGTCACCCTGGCTCAGGGGGGTCACCTCAGCCCAGAGGGGTCACCCTGGCCCAGAGGGGTCACCCTGGCCCAGAGGGGTCACCCTGGCTCAGGGGGGTCACCCTGGCTCAGGGGGGTCACCCTGGCTCAGGGGGGTCATCCCAGCCCAGAGGGGTCACCCTGGTCCAGAGGGGTCACCCTGGCTCAGGGGGTCACCCTGGCTCAGGGGGGTCATCCCAGCCTGGAGGGGTCACCCTGGTCCAGTGGGGTCACCCTGGCTTAGCAGGGTCACCCCAGCCCAGCAGGGTCACTCTAGTCCAGCAGGGTCACCCTGGCTCAGGGGGGTCACCCTGGTCCAGCAAGGTCACCCTGGCTCAGGGGGTCACCCTGGTCCAGCAGGGTCACCCCAGCCTGGAGGGGTCACCCTGGTCCAGTGGGGTCACCCTGGCTAAGCGGGGTCACCCTGGCTCAGCAGGGTCACTCTGGTCCAGCAGGGTCCCCCCCAGCCCAGCAGGGTCCCCCCCCCAGCCCAGCAGTATCCCCCAGCCCAGCAGGGTCCCCCCCAGCCCAGCGGGGTCCCCCGGCCCGGGCTCGTCTGTCGCGTGACCGTCGTAGGTAGCACCCCCGTCATTCTCTGTCGTACGAGGTCTGAACTCCCATCAGTACTAGGATGCAAGTGAGCATTTCAGGTGGTCATAAATGTACCTAAATAAACTATGGCACAGTGGCAGGCCTAGCCCTTCCTTTTATACTTTAGTATGAACTGATGAGAACTTTGGTAGTGACTTTTTTTTTATATATATACATATATATATGTATCTATATATATCAAGCATCTTTCAGGTCTCTGTGTATGGCTTTCTGAAGCCCTGTTGTAAAATACTATGTGGATGGGGGTCTCTCACATCACAGATGTGGAAAGTATAATTTTATATTTGTATTTTCAAATAAATAAGTTTGTGAAAGGTTTCCATCCTCTACTGTGGTCCAGAAATCAATGTGTTTGTCTGACGAAAAAATACAATAAACTGTTTTGAACAGATCCATGGAGTCCATTTCATTGGGGTGGGGGGAATCTTTATTCCTGGGGGTTTTTATCCCCAAAACTCATCACCTTGTTGCCCATCCTGCTCCCACGGGGTGGGCAGCACATCCCTGCCCTGTCCCTGTCCCCTGCCCAGTGCCCCAAGGCTGGTCCCTCACCCTGTGCCCTGCCAGGCACATCTTTGGCACCACCAGCACTAATCCTCTTTCCAGGAGGGGCAGCGGGTGGTATCCAGTCCTGCTGGATAAATTCCCAGTGCCCCCACCCTTGCTGTGTGTTCTCCTCACTGGAGTGACCCCCCCAGCGCTCCTTTGGGCTGTAAACACTCATCGTTCGTTCCTCGTTATTCCAGGTTTCCTTTCCTGGGGAGAACAGGCTGTGGGACTGGGATTGGGATTGGGATTGGGGCTGGGCAGGATGGAGGGGTGCTCCAGCCCCAGCAGAGCCTCCCTCCCCTGCAGCCCCTCGGGGGTCCCGGGGGGCTCAGCCCGCTGAAGGTCAGCGCACGGCAGGACGCAGGACGGGCTCTCTGGAAAGCAGTCAACACATCAAGCCCTTAATGGGGTTGATGATTAGTGGAGCACCGAGGGGAAAATTAGATTAGAAAAACAAATGAAAATAATTTCGGAAGTCGTGTTTGTTCGGGGTGGAAGGAGCTTCCACTGCGAGGGCTGCAGGAAACGATTTGACTGCAATCCAGAAGAAAAGGAGCGCGGGTCTGGAGTACATTAGTGTGGTGGGAGGCCGGGAATAGCAGCCACTTAACCCTGTCATTCAGCAAACATTAGTGAATTATGAGAGTATTATATGTGGGTGATGTGTTTTGTGCAAAGCCCGCGGGCCCGCTGTAGCAGCACTGCAACGGGAGTGGGGGTCTGTGTCAAAATGTAAATTTTTATACCAGCTCTGGAACAAAAATGAGATATTGTGTTCGCCTCCCAGCTACTGAAATCAAATTGCAGCCAAAATCGGAGTTGTAAAATAAGCAAAAATTTCCCTTCCCTGTCAAATTAGTGCCCCGATAAAGAAAACAAGGGAGATAAATGTGATTTACTTCCTCTCCCTCGTGTCATAAACATTTATGGCCGAGCTGTAAGGATGAGCTGCAGGAGGCAGCTGGGGCCACTGGGGTTGTGCAGAGTCACCCACGTGGGGGTCTTTGGGCACGGAGCTCCTGCCACAGCCCACCCTGTGCCCCCCGTCCTGCAGCCCTGCCCCAGGACCCCCGGCCACAGGTGGCTGTCCCAAAACCTCGCAGTAAATATTGGATTTATTAACCTGCTGGGAGGACTTGAGCACCCTCTGCTCTTCGGCAGAGCCGCGCATCCCCCCTCACACATCTGGAGGCTGCAGCAGAAACCAAGCCAGCGTTTATTAATTATGAGCTTAAGCGCTCCCTTTCACGGCTATTTACAAGGGCCGCCTCATTATTAATACAGAATAATAAAATAGAGGGGTTTTAAAACTCATTTGTTCCACTGGGTACCAGTCCCTGTGGTGGCACGAGCCCGGATGCCACCCAGCCTGAGAGCGCTGGAGCCCTGATGGTGATGAAACCCACCCCAAAAAAAAACCCCTCCCTTTACCATTCTGCCTTCAGTTATATCAGATCCCGTCAGGAATGAGCAATCCCAGCAGCTCGGCGTGTCGAGGGCTGCAGTTTTGAGCCGGTCACGAGGCGGTGGCAGCGCCTGGGTGAGGAGAGACACTTGTAATTCATTAGCGCTCCGCAAAGGGCACCGCTGCTTGACTCTGTTTGTGCATCAGGCAAAGGCTCCTTCCTGCTCTTCACCTCCACGGCAACGGCTGGAATTAGCACGGAGCAGCTCCCGCGGGCAAACAGAGCCAGCAGAGAGCCCTGCAATGCTCTGGGTTGGAAATGACTTTAAAAATCACCCGGTTCCACCCCCTGCCTTGGGCAGGGACGCTTTCCCCTGTCCCAGGCTGCTCCTGGCCATCCAACCTGGCCTTGGGCACTGCCAGGGCTTCCCCACCCTCACAGGGAAGAATTTCTTCCCCATATCCAAACTAAATCTGCCTTCCTTCAGCTTGAAGACATTCCTCTTGTCCTGTCACTGCACGCTCTTGTGAAACGAGTCTCTTTCCAGCCTGTCCCCAAAGCCACCTCATCTCACAGTGGCAACAAGCCCAGGTCCCCAGCCTGACCTCCCCGACACCGACAACTCAGCCTGACGGGGTCAGGGCTGCTGAAACTTGGGCACATTCCCACCCTCTGCTGAATTTCTGGCAGCCCGGGGACCAGCCGAGGTCCCGGTGACAGTGACAGTGTGACAGAGTCCAGCCCCAGCCTGCTGCTGCCAGTGGCTGTGACACTTGGAGTGGCACTTGTCCCGGGAGCGGGTGACAGGAGCCCGTGCACTGCTCCTGTGTTAATAATTACTGATTAAAAAACTAGTTAAAGAGCCAGTGGAGGCTGGAACGTGCATTAACCACCTCCCGGGGATGGGAGCAGGCACAGAACGAGCCCTGGCAGTGTCTGCACGGCCTGGTGACACCTGGTGACACCTGCCATCTCCTGCGTCCACAGAGCGCGGGCTCTGGTGTGACACAAACAGCAGCAAGAATAAAAAGCAGGAGAAAGTTCCTGGTTTTGCCTTTTCTAAGCCCACAATGCATTTTGGCCACCAATAAAACTGCTCGGGATTTATACAGAGCTTTGCCTCTTCAAAGCAGCAGTTTGTTCCTCTCAGCCCCTTTCATCCAGACATCCAAAGTGCTTCCCATCCGTCCTTCCACAGCCTTTTGATGGGTGGGGAATTCCTCTTTTTTGATATTGACAAAGTGAGCCAGGCTGGGCTGTGAGCTCCCAACCCTCCTGACTGGAGGGGAAGCCCGAGCCCAGGCCAGGTCCTGTCCCTGTCCCTGTCCTGCCTTGCCCCAGCAGCGGCTGAGTTACCCAAGAAAGGAGCCTGAGCTGAGCTGGTGAAGGGGTGAACACCCCGAGGGATGGGGAAGGGGGTGAACACCCAGGGGGATGGGGATGAACACCCAGGGGGATGGGGATGAACACCCAGAGGGATGGGGATGAACACCCAGGGGGATGCTGAAGGAGGTGAACACCCATGGGGATGGGGAAGGGGATGAACACCCAGGGGGATGACAAGGGGGCGAACACCCATGGGGGTGATCAAGGGGATGAACACCCATGGGGATGGGGATGGGGATGAACACCCAGGGGGATGGGGAAGGTGATGAACACCCAGGGGGATGGGGATGAACACCCAGGGGGATGGGGATGAACACCCAGGGGGATGATCAAGGGGATGAACACCCGGTGGGATGGGGATGGGGATGAACACCCAGGGGGATGGGGAAGGGGATGAACACCCAGGGGGATGGGGATGGGGATGAACACCCAGGGGGATGGGGATGGGGATGAACACCCAGGGGGATGGGGAAGGGGATGAACACCCAGGGGGATGAACACCCAGGGGAACACCCAGGGGGATGGGGATGAACACCCAGAGGGATGGGGATGAACACCCAGGGGGATGCTGAAGGAGGTGAACACCCATGGGGATGGGGAAGGGGATGAACACCCAGGGGGATGACAAGGGGGCGAACACCCATGGGGGTGATCAAGGGGATGAACACCCATGGGGATGGGGATGGGGATGAACACCCAGGGGGATGGGGAAGGTGATGAACACCCAGGGGGATGGGGATGAACACCCAGGGGGATGGGGATGAACACCCAGAGGGATGGGGATGAACACCCAGGGGGATGCTGAAGGAGGGGAACACCCATGGGGATGGGGAAG